TCATGGAACTTCTAAAAAGTAAGGAAATAGCTGTGAGAACCCCCAGATGGTGTGTAAAATATGTCTCCCTGGCATATTAACTAACTATTTTCAATAGGGTGGGCATTTTTCTTTTTCTCTTTCCTTCACTTTCTTTGCATTTTTTCTCTTTTAGAAAATTTGAGCATGTCAGTTTCATTATTTTAAGTACAGGTGGTAACATTTCAGTATTAAAAACAAAAAACAAAAAACAAAAAACTTGTCTGGGACAGACATTGCCCAGCAAATTCGATATGTGAATGCTTACTGTACTAGCAAACTTACATAATACTGTTCTTGGGGTCTATCTTAGGATGACCTATAAAGGTATCTACTTTTTAGTGTGGTACAACTAAATTCATTTGAGTGTGTTTCAATATAAATTGGTTTCATACTATGTTCTGCTCAGGATGACTAGGGATTATAGAATTGGTGCTGGGTTCAGAGTCAGAAAATATTTTCTTTTCTTGGCTCTGATTTTAAACATGCAATTTAAATTCTCTGTGTTTCGATTTGCTTATTTATTTTTAAATGGACATGTATTTTCTCTGCCATACTGCCATAGGTTAATTAAGGATCAAATATGAACGTTCTTTGCCAAAAAATAAAGTTTGAGGTGTTATCTTTCACATAAATCTTTCTAAAAGTGCACTTTCACCTCTGTTTAAAAAGGTAGAGAGGGTCACCTATTGCCTATGACATGCTTTTGAAATAGTGGTGTGCATACCTTAGGAGAAACTCTGTGGCATGCTGTAATGCCACAACATGAGCACAGCACATTTTCACACAGTGTCAAGATCACATTCATATCTGGGCAAAAGTTAGATACTTCAATAAATAATAATAATGTCTTGTATTCTTCATTAGTATACAAATTTCTCCTGAGTTTTAATGGTAACACAAAAAAAATTCAGTATTTTGGCAAGTGGCAAATAGTTTCACCAATACCTTGAAAACACTGAGACATATGTATTTACGTTCTTCTCTGCTACTCAGGATAGTGAGGCAGAACATATTGAGAAGTCCTAGTACTATATCAAAAACTCTTCTGATTCATATATGAGAACTTCCATAACACTGGATCTAATTGTCTACTGACCCTCCTTTCCATTACACCCTCTGTCTCAATCTAGGTTCTGATTGTTATATCTCTTTCAACCTGTTGCAGAATGGCTTTGAAGAGATATTGTGTATTTTACAAACAGCTCAGGCCGGGCATGGTGGCTCACACCTGTAATCCCAGCACTTTGGGAGGCTGAGGCAAGTGGATCACCGGAGGTCAGGAGTTCGAAATCAGCCTGATCAGTATGGTGAAATCTCGTCTCTACTAAAAATACAAAAATTAGCCAGGTGTGGTGGCATATGCCCATAGTCCCAGCTACTAGGGAGGCTGAGACAGGAGAATTGCTTGAACCTGAAGGCGGAGGTTGTAGTAAGTCAAAATTGCCCCACTGCAGTCCAGCCTGGGTGACAGAGCAAGACTCCTTCTCAAAAAGTAAATACATGAAAATAAAAATAAATAAACAGTTCATTCCATAATATACTAGTATACTTCCCTGTATTAAACTTGATTTATCACTAGGTACCTAGAAGAGGGAAATAGGCATAGTTAGTGTGTAGGGGGGAGGGAAGCAAGCACATGAAAACTAAAAGATTAAAATGACTTCAGTTGCTCAGTTGCTCTATGTTTCCTCCCTTGGAACTCTGTGGTACAAATTTTAAGGTCTGAGCATCCTTTTCTTCATGGTGAAAGTTTTTCATGTCAGATGATTATAAGATGAATCTTCTTATACCATGGCTTATCTGTATTCTCACCTTCCCTAGAAATTAAAATTTTTTTTAAAAGTTGCAAGGGTACGGATGAGTGTCAGAAAAGCTTACTAGCAAAATTGATGTTCATCCATGTTGTGTGTGTGTATGTATATATATATATATTTTCTTAATATTGCTAAATAGTATTTCATCCTATAGATATACATTAATTTACTTATTTACCTGTTGATGGACCTTTGTATTGATCCAATTATTGGACAATTATTAATAAAACAGCAATTAATATTCATGAGAAAGTCTTTGTGAGATTATATGGTTTTATTACTCTTGGGTAAATAACTAATAGCAGAACTGATGGTCAAATTGCAAGTTTTTGTATAGCTTTAAAGGAAAGTTCCCAACAATTTTTCAAAGTTGGTTTTGCCATTTTGCATTGTCACCACCAAAGTGTGAGAGTTCCAGCTGCTCCACATATGTACCAATACTTAGTGACATCAGCTTTTTAATTCTAGCTTTTTGGTCATTTTGTGGTACTATCTTCCTGCATTTTTAGTTTTCATTTCTTTGATGGTATAATCGAGCATCTTTTAATGTACTTATTACTCATTTATGTATGCTTTTTTGTGAGGTCACTGTCACATATTGTGTGTACTTTTAATGGACCTATTTGCCTTCTTATTAACAAGTTATAAGGTGTATGTTAAAAATATTGTCTCTAGATATGTGATATATAAAATTATCTCAGGTCTATATTTATAGAATCTATAATGATATCATCTCTTTCATTTTTGAAATTGTTATTTGTTATTTGTTAGTTAATTGTTAGTTGTTATTTGTTTCTTCTCTGTTTTGTCTTGGTCAGTCTGGTTAACAGTTTATTCATTTTATCCATCTTTTTAAATAACTATTTCTTGGTTTAATAATTTCCTCTATTTTCTATTTTCAAGTTCATTTATTTTTACTTGTATCTTAATTGTTTCAATTCTTTTAGCAAGCGTTGGACATATTTCATTTGGATTTTACTAGTTTGTTAAGTTGGAAGTTTAAATTTTTTATGTGCTTCCAATTTCACCCTCCCACCTTTGAACCTTTGCTGTCATATATTCTATTTTCCACATATGCTATAAACACAGATTCAAAGCCTCTAATTTTGCTTAGGAATTGCAAATACCTTTTGGAGAAATTAAAAATAAAAATAATACATATATTAACTTTCATTTATATAATTTTCATTTTCTTTGCTCTATATTTATTTATTTATATATGTTTCTGTTTGGGATATTTATTTATTTATTTATTTTGCAAAGCCTATAAACCATGGAGTATTTTTTTTCCTGACAGAAATTTTAAAAACATATGTTTCTCATTAAATAGAATCATTGGTCATAAATTCTCTAAAATAAAAAAGTTTCCCCTTATTTTTAAAGGTATTTTTATTGATTAGGGAATTCTGGGCATACAAGGTTTTTTTATAAAGCACTTTAATGTTGCCAATTCATTATCTTCTGATTGATTTTGTATTATCTAACAAGAAGTCTGCTTTATTTCTTCTCCCTTTTTTTTTGTTTTTGATTTTTGCAACATGGTCTCACTCTGTCACCCAGACTGGACTGCAGTGGCTGGCAACCTCTGCCTCCCAGGCGGAAGTGATTCTCCTGCCTCAGCCTCCCGAGTAGCTGGGATTACAGGTGTGTGCCCCCACGCCTGGCTAATTTTTGAGGTCAGGCTAGTCTTGAACTCCTGACCTCAAAAGATCCGCCTTCCTCAGCCTCCCAATGCGCTGGGATTACAGGCATGGCCTGAACTTCTTATAATTGTTCTTCTATATAATATGTATTTTTTCTTTTGGCTGTCTTGTTTTATTCTTTGGCTTTTGGCACTTTTAATATGTTGTACCTGGTATTTTTTTTTCTTTTATTAATTCCTGTTCTCCAAGTTTTTGGTTTTGTGATCTAATTTATTACAGTAAAAAATTCAACTATTCCTTAAAATATTTTTAAATATTTAAATATATATTTTGCTCCTCTCTTTCTAGCATCCCAATTATGCATCTGTTAGACTGTTTAATCTTGTCCCATTGCGTAGGATTCTCTGTCATTTTTTTTCCTCTCACTCTCATTCTCGCTCTCTCTCTTCTCTTTGAGTCTTAGTTTGAGTTATCCTTTCTGACCTTTCTTGAACTTTACTAATATTTTCTTCAGCTATGTTGAGTATACTCAAGGCCCATTGAAGGCATTCTTTATCGCTGTTACCATGTTTCTATTTGTTTCTAGCATTACTATTTGATTCTTCCTTGTATTTTTCATCTCTTCAAAATACCTCATCTGTTCACGAAAGATGCCCACCTTTTCCTCCAGAGCCTTTAGCATCTTATACATAGTTATTTAAAATTCACTGATAGTTCCAACATCTGGGGATTATCTAAGTCTACTTTTGTTGATTCCTTATTGAGTTGCATTTTACCTTTTGTGTGTGTGTGGGGGGGTGTGGGTGTGTGTCTGTGTATATGTATGTATTTTATACACAGATATTATGTGTAGGCAGGTAGAGGTTGAGAGAAATATTATTGATGCTGAAAACAGACAGCCGTCTTTCCTGGACAGTAAATTAAGGTTATGGGTATATCTAGTTGGCAGTGAAGCCGGTTTGTTTCTTTCTTCGTTTTGCTACATCTCCAGGTTTAGGTGGGTGCTCTACTGTTACCTTGTGCTTGAAGACTGAGGGCTGAATTATAGGAGGGTTTTTCTTAGTGTTCCTACACTACTCTCAGCCTTAGGCTTTCCCTACATGCAGAATTCCCTACGTGCAGAATGTCTTCATGTTCTTGTCCCTCTCCCAATGTTCTTTTCTTATTATTTTATGCTTATAGACCTGATAGCCTATCCATCAGGTATGAGGGTGGGAATAGAATGTTATACTTTTGTGTTTTCTGTTGCCTGATTTAGTCTTTGGTAGGTTTTGCGTCCTTGGTTCTTGAGGTAGTATCTTTCTCAGTGATCATGTCCTGCCCTAAGCAGTAAGGAATCTCAAATAGTCTGAGCCCAGAGGCTTTCCTACCTCCCCATAAAAGGTAGAAAAAAAAATTGTTCAGTTCTTTCCCGCCGAAAACGAGTCTTCATCTATAACATCAATAAGAGAGATCATTTGCTGTCTTCCCTCTGTGGTGTAGGCTTGTGTATTGCAGGCAAGAAGGATCCAGGTGAATCTCTTGCTGCACACTGTTAGCCGTTCTTCTTCCACAGATCAGCACAAGGGAGAATAACCTTGTGGAATGCGTGGTGAGATGTGTGAAGAGCATGGCAATGGATGCCAACTTTCTTTGTGTTTCTGGCTTTAAGCATCTCTATACGTTCATACTATCCTACACTCAGCAGCAATTTGTTACAAGTTTGGCTAAATTCTTCTTACCCTTTTGAATGCTAGCCCAGTTTCCTGTCACTGCACTAGGTAAGTCAAACATTGTGTCCTGTTTTGCCCTGAAAGTGCCTGTCTGTTCTTAGATTTAGCGCTAGTTGATTGCCTGGTCACATTAATTCTCTCATAGGTTCATGAAAAGTTATGATTTCATAGGTTATCTGACTTTCCAGGAATGAGGGTGGTCAAACTTTTTCAGCTTACTCTATACTAAGCAGACACTGTAAGTTAAAATTCTTGCAGTTTTCAAAACATTTTAAACAATATGATATATTAAACCTGAGAACTGAGAACTTAATGAAATGTAAACATTTGATTAAATATTTCTATCAGGTTTAAATATTTGGGACAATTTAATTTGTTAACCTTCTACATTTCTTGAACTTTTTATTTTGAACTAATTATAGACTCACAGAAAGTTGAAAATATAGTAAAGAGAGTCCATGTACTGTTCACCCAGCTTCTCTCAATGTTTATATCCTGCCCAACTGTAATACAATCTTAAAACAAATAAATTGACATTGGGAAAATCCCATTAACTAGTCTACAGATCTTATTCAGATTTTACCTGTGTGTGTGTGTGTGTTTGTGTGTGTGTGTGTGTGTGTAGTTCTTCACAATTTTATTGTGTGTATAGATTCATGTAGCTAATATATAGAAATGTTTCATCACTGCACAGAAACTCTCTTCTGCTAAGCATCTTCTAGTAAACTCCAACCCCACCATCATTCTCTCCTGGTAATTGCTAATCTATTTTACTTCTATAAGTTTTTCATTTTCAAGACATTTTCTTTTGTCATTTCAAGAATGCAAAAGGCGTAAGTAGAACTGGAATATGTAACCTTTTGAGATTGGCTTGTATTATTGCCTTTCAGATTCATTAAATTTTTACATATATAACTCCCTTGTTCCTTTGTATTACTGAGTAGTATTCTGCTGTATCCTTGTACCATAGTAACTTCAACCAGTCACCTGTTGAGAATTTTTTTTCCAGTTTTTAGTTATTATCAATAAAGCTGCTATCAACATTTATGTGAAGATAAGTTGTCATTTCTTGGGGATAAATCTATAGGAATGCAATTAATTATTGGGCCATCTGTTAAATATATATGGTTTTATAAAAAATTGCCAAACTCTTTGCTAGAGTGGCTGTACCATTTTACACTCCCAACAGCAATGTATAAAAGAGACAGTTTCTTTGTATCCTTATTAGAATTGGATAATATTGGATAATATCACTATCCTTAATTATAACTGTTTTGTTAGACATGAAGTGATGTTTAACTGTTTTAATTTGTATTTCCACAATGGCTAATGATTTTGAGCATCTTTTTATGTGCTTTTTGCTATCTGTATATTCTCTTTGGTGAAAATTCTATTCATGTCTTTTTCTATTTTCTAATTTGATAGTTAAAAATTTTTTTTAACTAGTTAAAGGGTACTTTATATATTTTAAGTGTGGTTTACACATATATTTTTCCAACTTTAAGCTTGTCTTTTATATTCACTGTAGAGTTTTTTGTAAAGAAAAAAACTTGAATGAGGTCCATTTTATCTATTTTATTTTTTTAGTGATTGCATTTTGGTGTCACATCTAAGAGCTCCATCTAATCTCAGGCCTCAAAGAATTTTACCTTCATTGTCTTCTAAAAGTTTTATAATATTATATCTTACAATTAAACCTATGATTTATTTTGTGTAAATTTTTTATAAGGTATGAGGTTTTACTTCAAGGTTTATTTATTTTGGTGGCAGATATCTAATTGCTGCTACATCATTTATTGAAATGTATACATTTTAGCTGTAAGAATAATCATTTAATAATTAAAATAATATTAATTGCTTACAAAATTTATAAAAAGAGTAAAAAAAGTTGCTCGTGACTATCCTATTTCATGTGCAAATACCTTTTGGCAGTTACAAATCTACCCACACTAACGTGGTGGTATCATGTTAACAATTGTAATATAGTAGCATGATGATACTATTATGAACACAAAATTTATTTTCTTGAGGAAATACTGATAAAGAGGAACAGTGTAGAAGAAAAGTAGAACATAAACAAAAAAAAAGCAAATTGATTGCACAATTTTAAGGGTCATTAACATTTGATTGGGAAGATTGCTTTTCTTTATAGCATAATATATATTTTATTTTTAAAATATAAACATGCTGTTAAACGATGTTATTTTTAAAAGTTTGCCTCGTTTCTCTTCTGCTCTTCCATACTCTTTTTCCAAAAAGCAGTATCTAAATCAGAAATGCCTGGGGCATGCTTCTTATACTCTTTCTGTATTTGCATCTTTTTTGTCTGAGGGAAATCTTTCTCACTACTCAAAGAAGGTATAAAATATGTAAATCACTGCCACAATTTTTTTTTTTTATTTTGAGATAAAATGAAACCTAGAGAACTGACATTTTATCCAGTTGAAATGAACCAATATTAAATAATCTGGAATCCTCCAGCAAAACCCTTAAAGTTTTAGATTTTTCATCTAAAGAAATTATACATTACCTAAACAAAGGTACAATTGTATGTGTACCTAACCAAAATGACTGCATTATTGAGTGGGAGTACAGTTTTAATAGTTTAAGAGAAACTTATAAAGTTAAAAAATAATGAAATGATATTTAATACTTATTCTTATAAAATATTTTTATTAATTATGCAATGCATTGTTATATACTTAATATATAAAACATAAAATGTTTTTTTAATAAAATGTATTCATTTTAAATAAAGATAACGAAAAATTGAGCCACATGAAGAGATACACCGTATAATTAGACATCTAAAAATCAGGTCATAAAAAGGATATATAATACTTTAATTCAGATAGAATTAAGCCCTATCATATTAGCAAACAGTACAGTTGCAAGGAAATAATAGTTTTGAGTTTTGCTGCAGACGGCATGTCTAACAGTTTGGGCAGTAATTATTTATTCTGAATAAATGCTTTTTGGATTCCTAACAAGCTGCATTCAATGTTCAAAATTACTAAATTATAGTTTATTGTTAATTTGAAAAGTTTACATTTAGAAAGCCCTTAAGTTGTAATCGTTTATGTGCCGTGTTTGCTGAAATGCTATAAAATATTTCAAGCTATATATGTCTATTTCAGGATTGATATTTTATTTACAACATGTACTTTAAGCTGCTTCTCAGTGTCCATTTAATTGGAAGAGGCAAGTGATACGTATAAATGAATGCCTTTAATAACTTCATTACTTTTAAATCTTTTTTCCTGAAAAACTTCCAGCTCAAATGTCACAAAATGACTTAGCATATTATTTTTTATGCCTATATACTGAGAACATAGAAAAAAAAAATTAACTTCAGTTACCACAACCACCATTCTTGTAAGCAAATAAGTAAAAGAACAAAAAACCTGAAAAGATATGTTTCTGAGAAGTACAAGTTTAGGAAAAGGCGAAAATCAAGGGAGCATTGCCACAGCAACTTGTCCATAGTCTGTTTCAACAGCTACAATCCTTATATGACCCTCATATTTCTTCTTTTTATATACAAGAAGAATTCTCATTCTTCTCTCTTCCACATCCTGGACTATATTTAGGTCTTACTCTTCCAGAAGAGAAAGGGAAAACTGAACCTGAATGTTCCCTAAAAGTGAAGAACTGTCCACACTTCTGTGTGCAGAGAGGTGAGAACTTCCTTCCATTTCCATTTACCTCCATTACTGGAAAGAAGTGAGTGCTGGTAAAATTCCTTCCTTTAACCTTGGCTAGTGATCAATGCAGGTGACAGCAATTAATATTATTAGTGATGATTGAATATTTCTCTCTGGAGTATCTGAGAGAAACCCAATAACACTTCCTTTTAGGTAAAGAGGAGACATTGGCGGTCAGAGCCCCTTTTGGTTTAATATATGTGATCTGGAGTATTTTCTGGGGACTTTCTTTAGTAAGAAAAGATAAAAAACAGCTTGGGTGAGAGTTATATTTCTGCTATATGTTATCTACCTTTGCACGTAATATTGAGGACTTTGTTCAATGTGTTGTAGAAACTCATAGCAAACTGGCAACAGAAATACTCTTTGGTTTTTAAATAAAAGTTGTCTAACTGAAACTTTCTGATACTGGTTGTCACATCTTCCTTTCCCTTTCTATTGTTCTCTTACTGAGTTACAAGGCAACAGAAAATAGACAGACCCAAACCAAACCCAACAGTACCCAACCCAAAACCAAGAGTATGTCATATGCTTTTCTTCTTCTTCTTCTTTTTTTTTTTTTTTTAGATGGATTCATACTCCATCACCCAAGCTGGAGTATAGTGGCCTGATCTTGGCTCACTGCAACCTCCCCCTCCTGGGTTCAAGCTATTCTCCTGCCTTAGCCTCCAGAGTTGCTGGGATTACAGGTGCGTGCCACCATGCTTGGCTAATTTTTGTATTTTTAGTAGAGAAGGGGTTTTACCATGTTGGCCAGATTGGTCTCAAACTCCTGTCCTCAAGTAATCTGCCTGCCTCAGCCTTCCAAATTGGTGGGATCATAAACATGAGCCACTGCGACAGTATGCTTTTAAATGGAGTAAAGCGAGCTCCAAGTTGTCCCATTCTAAGTCACTCTAGAATAAAATTTATATAGAACTTATAAGGAATAAGATATTGGCAGGGACTCTGAGATAGATGCATTGTTATTCCGAATTGTTTACTCTTACACTTGGAGAGAGAGAATACATCATTGCCCACTGCCACGTGATGTGCAGTGCTCCCTCCTGCCAGGGTCTTATTCCATCCTCATTCATGCCTTACTTACAGCATGGCTTGGTCATTTGAGTAGCTCTGACCAGTGAAATAGGAGTAAGAGTGATGTATAACATTGCTGACTGGAAACTTGTAAAGCATTTTTTGCATGGTTCCAACATTTCTTCTTTCGTAAGAACAAGATAGGGCTGTTCTTTAAGCCGTGGTCCAGCAATGAAGACAAGATGAGGCAAAGCCACAACTGAACAGTGAAGTATGAGTAACATGTGCAAGAAATAAACCTTTGTTGCTGTAAGGCTGTTGCCACTAAGATTGCTGGGGTTATTACTGCAAAATAACTTAGAAAAATTATTAGTAAAGTTAACATAAACTCAAAAAAGAACTGTTAGGTGAAAAATTGGGCCTCTTAACACATACATTATAAGAGAAACCTGCTCCTCCCTTTTTTCTTCTTATTTTACTTTTTTCTTTATTCATGTTTGTGTATGTGTACACACATACATAAAAATTTGGTCATCCATAGCAAAATGAAATATGTTTTGAATAATTTTAGCACTGATCATTTAAAAGTTCTGAGCATTCTTAAGCTGAAATTGAAACTTGGAAAAACCACCACAAAGCTAACCTTAAAAATAAAAATAAAAACAACCAAAAATGTAGATGGAGTCAATTAGATCTTGGAATTGGTATGGCAAACAAAAGAAAAGTTTTGATTTTCTGTTTCTTGAATGTTCAACTTTCTTTTCTTTTCTCTTTCTTTCCCTTGTTCAGTAAAATGAGGAAAACTCTAGGACTACATCTCGTTCTCATCATAATTACACACATGGTAGTGAGAACAGCAATGCAACCATGAAGAATTTTAGTCTCTATGCCATGCATGAAAAGAAAATCAATAACCATCCCCAAACTGATTATGTAATACTTCTCTATTAGATATGATGCCACTAGAAATATTTCTGCTTAGTCAAGCAGGGGAAAAGAACTCATTTGCTGATCTAATCTCCTATTTTCTCATCAGTTCTTTCTCTTGTCAGGACTGTACTTTCCCTGGACATGATGAAAACACAAGATTGAGTGTCATCCTATTTACTGCTGTGGTTGTCCTAATCTAAACTAAGTCTACTTTTGAAGTTTCCTGGATGCAAAGGTGGTTAAATCCCAAATGTTTATGGTTCTTCGAAAATATAAACACTCTTTCCTTCTGGGGTAATAGAAATCAAATTTTTAAAATTATTTTCCTGGTATTAATTTATATGCTCTATTTTATTCTTTCCAAACTTGTGTTTATTCAGTGGGCATGCAATTTTATAAATTAAGTTAATAAATGATAATCTCATCTCATATTTATTCTAATGAAACAAATGGAAAGTAAAGTGCACACAAAGAATATGTGTAACTTTTTCCAGTGCTACCTTATTAAGCTTCCTTCGCCTATTCTCCTAACCCTCAAAAGAGGGTGGTCTTAAGTGCTTACCATGAATTTGTAATAAGAATCATTTTTTCCACCTCATTCTCTCTCTCTCTCTCTCTCACACACACACACAGACACGCACACACACACACACACACACACACACACACAGAGAGAGAGAGAGAGAGAAACTGGTGTCTCAGATTTCCTTCCTGCTGTAGACTCTTACCAAGGATAAAGCATCTTCTTTCTCCATGCCTTTTCTGTTGCAAAAAAGTCAGAAATGCTCATTATACTAATATTTTTTAAAGTCTGTGTTACCACAAGTAATACATTCAAGAGGGAAATGAACAACATTTTAAAAAGGGAAGATTATTTCAGAGAGGTAGGCAGTGAAATTCTGTTTTTAGTGGGAGAGATGTGACTTGTCCAAGAGTTTGAGGTTACCCGAGATTTACAAAAGGAGCTTTGGCATTTCAGCTTGCTATGGAAACTTATGTCTAGATGGCATACATTGCCCAGAACTGGGAGTGGATTACAAGATTGCTGTGTGCTTTTAGATGAAGGTCAGTGCAGAGAACTGGAATGACATGAATATCTGAAGTTGGTTAAACTCAGAGAAAATCAGCACCTAAAAGATAGTCAACATCACTGCTCAGTTGAGGCAGTAAGAAGTTAAAAGAGCAAGAGTAAGGAGAAAATCATACTGATGTATTTTTCAGGCATTATATAAACTCAGGAGTTTTTATGTTTAATAATAAAGTCTCAATATTGACTGAATTGAATTTATTGTCAGTAAGTATGTAGAAGGTTGGAGGATATTTGATTTAACATGATGACTCAAAATAAAATTTCTTACACTTGAATATTATGCGGGTAAAATTAATATCAGTGATATATGAGACAATTTGGACACTATTATAAAACTTCATGAAATATATATTTATGAGGAAGACTAATTAAAATACTTAGAATTGAGGGTTGTTAATTTTCAGATAATAGCTTTCACTGTATTGGAGAATTAATAAATAGTGGGAAATCTCATAAAACCCTGTGGATTTAGGGAATACCAGTGATCCGAAATGAGATTTAGTATGAATGGGGCTTATTAAATATTTTAAAAACCAGGAGCAGATATATAGTGATTGGCAGAATGTTCATTAAGGGAAGAGAAACTAGCCTTTTCCAATAAGTAACTTTGTTAATTCCAGGGGACTATTGAGAAATGAGGAGCATGGAAGAAGATATTTACATCCCCTAACTCAGACTTCGTATTTCAAAAATGACTTAATCGTCTCCATCTGAGAGACAAATACACACTAGCCAATGTCCCCAGTGTCCTACAGGAGTGTTTTCCAAATTATTTTTGGGGTCCCTTAGTGAGTCATGAAATCAATCTGGGAAATCGCACCAGGCATTTAAAAAAAAAAATATGTCAAATGAACATAATGAAAATATATGATTGCATCACATAAAATAGGACTCTACTGTTTCATTACATATATTTTTATATACCTATAAATACATGAAAATCTGTATAAAGGGTCATAATGAAAACTGTATTTCTGACAGAAATTCAGATCAAATGAATTGGAGACCTTGATTTTATTCTATAGAAACTTCCATATTGCTCCTAGCTTGAATGTCATTAAACATCGGTGAAATTTTAAGACAATGAAAAACTGCTCTGACAGTGAAATGATAAATCCCATGAACTCAGTTTTTTGAAGGGGATGGAAATTTGGGTTGATTGAGAAGACCATTTGGAGAATATTCATTGCTGGAAGAGTGGAAGGTGGCTTAGGTCCTGAAACACTAACAATGGTGAAATGGGGTTAAAGTCTTCAGTTTGAGGCTGAGTCTCAAAAAGTGTTCAGTGCTATGGCTGAGTGTCTGACGGGTTTAGAATAAGCTTCAGCTCAGGCCAGTTTTTAAAATATCAACCAGAGGACTTGTGAAAAGTTTCTACGTTGACTCTGATGCTAGAGGCTTTGGAGACTTGGCCAGAGGAGCCATAGACCTAGGGAGTAAGGCTCAGGTCCAGGATGAGCAGGCATAGGGAGGGGTTGCTCTGAGTAAACTCTCCACTGTGAGCTCAGCCTGGTGCAAACTGAACCCCTCCCATCAACTGTTTTCAACTTTAAAAACTCATTAGAGAAGAAAATTAGGGGGAGGTGGTTTTTCACTCCAGGAGAGAGGGAGTCAGGCATGAAAGAGATGATTTTAGTGACCCAATTTCAGACTCTGCCAGCTAGGGCAGATGATGACTTAATATACCAACTGAAGACTTGATTGTTGCTTTGTGTATTCCACTAATCTATACGTGGGTGCTCATCCACAAGATCCTTGATATCCCAATACTTTGGTATCTGGGCAGCCTTTTATTCACCATTTTGTGGTGGCCTGGGCTACACTACAGAACAGAAGATTCCTAAGGGAAATCTGAACCTAACACAAGACTATAAAGCCTACTGCTCAACTACAGAGAAGAACATTTCAGATGTAGTTGTCTGAGATTTCAAGAAAGCATAAGGAGTATTTACTTCACTCAGCGAGTAGGGAAGTTAGATATTTCATGCAGACTTCTCTTGCAGTTGTAAATGCTAAAGCCTAAAAGCAGTAATAGAATTTTCTAGGGCTGAGTCTGTGATGAATATAAAGGCATTATGAGCATGTTCTCATTTATAAGTGGAAGTTGAACAAGGAGAACACATGGACACAGAGAGGGGAACATCACACAGGAGGGCCTGTCAGGGGTGGGGACTAGGGAAGGGAAAGCATTAGGAGAAATGTCTAATGTACATGATGGGTTGATGGGTGCAGCAAATCACCATGGCACATATATACCTATGTAACAAAATTGCACGTTCTGCACATGTACCCCAGAACTTAAAGTATAATTCAAAAAAAAAAAAAAAAAAAGACCCAACTCTCAGTCAGTCTGAAGCCTCAGGGCCTACCAGATAGATGATAGCTATTAGAATTTCAGACCAGCATCAATGTAGTCAAGAGAGCAATAGTTAAGATGGCAACAATCCTGGAGTATAGATGAGGAACTTTCCCTGCTTTTCTATTGTGACACATGTCCGGAAATTTTATGTTATTCTGTGAATCTATTGTGGCGAAGAGACCTCACAATGAGTGACACTGAATTTTTTGCCATCCAGGCAGGTGGAAGTTCAACGAAGATTAAATTTGATTTAAAACAATAATGGAATATGAAAGCTTGTATGCAATGTTGTGATGTGATACATATACACACCTAAATATATATAATGTATTCATTTTAAATAAACGTATATATCTAATGCATTTAGTTCTCATTTCAAATTTATTCATACACATTAGGTTTAGTGTCAAGTTTATGTGTATGGGCTCTGAAGTCAGAGGGCTACAGCAGGAATATCAGCTTATTAACTATGTGATCTAAGACAACTTGCTTACTTCTCTGAGTTTCGGTTTCTCACCCATAAAATGAGAATGATAACATGGTTGATCTGTTTAAGTTATTCTTATTTTTTAAATTTCTTAGAAATTTATCTGGAATATAGAAAGAATGTAGTAAATAGTAGATCTCTTTAAAAGTTCTCTTATTAAAGCATAAGCTATTTTCTCTTTTGAATACATGCATTTGACATTTTATTTTCTGTATTTTTAATTTGCTGATGCATATGATTTTCTCTCTAAACTGTACTTTGCTCCTGTCACTTAGAAATTTGTTTTTACCCTGTTTACCTGCATACTTGCACCCATTCCCCCGAATTCTATGTCTAAAGTCTGATCTGGAGTTTATTTAGTATTTTCTACTCTTCCACTCCCAGTTTTGTGTTTCTTATGTGGCAGTAAAAATTTTGGACACAAATTTTACTTCTAATCTCATGACTGTCTGAGAATGAGCTCACTTTCCACTTTATTTATGCATTGCTGTATTCTCCATCCCAATTCCTGATACTGGATTCAAGGCTGCTCCTTAATCTCTATATTCACTTAACGAATATTTTTTTTGCTTATTTTCTTTCTGCCAGGCAATGTGACAATCACTAGAGATTGACGTTACAGATAAAAAAAAAAAAAACCCTGATATCCATTCATATAGCTGCAAATCTTTCATTTGCCTGGTATGGCCCTACTAGCCAATAACGTTCCCCTTTTACTTAAACCAATGTCTTAGGCCATTCAGGCTTCTATAACAAAATACCACAGACTAGGTAGCTTAGAAGCAGCTGAAATGTATTTCTTACAAATCCGGAGGCTGGGAAGTTCAAGATTAAGGTGCCAACAGATTCATTGTCTGGTGAGAGCCCGTTTTCTGGTTCATATGTGATACCCTCTAGCTGTGTCCTCATGTACTGGAAGGATCAACACACCTCCCTGGGGACTACTGGTATCTTTGGATCTTTGTCCTCTCCAAATCTCATGTTGAAATGTGACCCCTAATGTAGGAAGTGGGGCTTCATGGGAGGTATTGATTATGATGGCAGATCCCTCATGAATGGCTTGGTGCCATCCCTTTGGTGATGAGTGAATTCCCACTCTGTTAGTTCATGGGAAGGAGGTTGTTTAAAGACCCTGGCACCTCCTTTCTTGTTCTCTCTCTTGCCACATAACACGTTTCCCACTTGCCTTCTGCCATGGTTGAAAGCTTCCTGAGGCCCTAACCAGAAACAGCTGACAGCACTATGCTTTGTGTACAGTCTGCAGAATCATGAGCCAAAAATAAACCTTTTTTCTTTCTAAATTACCCAGCATCATGTGTTCCTCTGTAGCAATGCAAAATGAACTAAAACAGTCACTAATCCCACTGATGAGGGCCCCACTCTCACGACTTACTCACCTCTCAATGACCGTACCTCCTAATACCATGACATTGCTGATTAACTTTCAACATAATCAGGTCAAAGGGGTGAGACACAAACATTAAAACCATAGCAACCAAAGAAACCAGGATTCTTTTAGTTATAACCCTAAATGTCCTGAGTAATATGAGACAATTTCATTATATACTAAATGCTCATGTGCACTAGAGTCCTGTTCTGTATGATCTATTCTACTGTATTGACTTATTAATTTGTACCAGTCCTTGGACACGAATTGCATTGTTTTATTGCAGTAGTGCTACAGCATATTTTAATGAGTTACTGGAAGAGTCTTCACTAATCACACATTCAAATTTTGGGGCAGGTATTTTACATGTCGATTTTTCCAAGTGAACTTTAGATTTATTTTGTCTTATTTTGTTTTTAAAGCATAGAAAGGAACAAGAACTCTGAGGTTTATGTTGGTGTTTTTACTGAGAATATATTAATTTTATGTGTTACTTTTGAAGGATTGAATCTTTACAATATTTAATTTGATAATACAGGAGTACAGTATGTTTTTCATTTATTCAAATCATATTTATAATACTTAAGTAAGTTTTAATGTTTACTTCCATACAGTTACATTGATTTCTAGATTGATTTACTCAGAAATATGGAAATCATTTTCTATACTTGTGCAAAAAAACTTTCCTTTTGTTATACTTTCTAAATGGTTATTATTTGTGTAAATAAAGGATTTTGGTTTGTTTAATATACTATCTTAAGGTATTCTCATTTTAATTTCAATTTCTCTGTTTCCAAGTATTCAGATTATCACTTCAGATAATAAAAAGTTTGCTTCTCACTTTATTTTCTTGTTTAATTACATAGATTTTGGTCTTTCAAACAATTTAAAATAAAGTGGTGACAATTGTCTTACTCCTGACTTTAATAAGAATGCTTATAATATTAAACAATTAGGCCTAAGGTTTCTGTTTCAAAAATTATATATGGATATTTAACTTTTAAAATGTCTTCTTTGTATTATATGGAGATTTTTATTTGACCTAATTATATATGATTTTTTATTGATACTGAACCTTTTTATTTTCTGCAATTCTATAATAAATCCCTTTTAGCTTTGCTATGCTCTTTTAACATTTATTTATAATCTTTACATTGAAAATAATGATGAAGAATTGCCTGCAGCCTCATGCTGGATGCTTTTGAAACTTTTTCTCCCTGTATCTGTAGAATAATTTAAATTACAGTAAAGTAACTGTTCTTTCAAATAAATATACTTTTTGAGAATACCAACAAGAGCTTGTCATCATTCTTTTAGAAAAAATGTACCTACATTACACAGAAACCCTGAGAACCCAACCAATTTCTTAGAGTATAACAGAAATATGAACATTTGCAAGAGTAACAAACTATGTGTTAAAGATTTAATTTGGCTAAAACATGATTTCTAGTCTCAAAGCAGTGGATATGGTTGTTAAAAATTAGTTACTTTATATGCAGAAAAACCTTTTCTTCTATTTAAGTCACTATTTCACTTAAATTGCTTAATTCTCTACAATTTCCTCCAACACATTCTCAAAAATATGGATAATAATTGCACAACACTAGTCAAAAAGAAGATCATGCTGAAAGAATGGTAGAGGATAAGACATAATGGTACAGTCACCTTGAGTATGGCACTGTGATGTGCTAATCATCAGCCATATCTATGCCTGATTCTGCCAGCCTATCAAGTGTATTTTTTTTTTTTTTTTTTTTTTTTGAGACAGAGTCTTACTCTGTAACCCAGGCTGGAGTGCAATGGTGGCTCACTGCAACCTCCACCTCCTGGGTTCAAGCGATGCCCCTGTCTCAGCCTCCCAAGTAGCTGGGTTTACAGGTGCCCGCTGCCATGCCCAGCTAATTTTTTGTATTTTTGGTAGAGATGGTGTTTCACCGTGTTCCCCAGGCTGGTCTCAAACTCCAGAACTCAGGAAATCTACATGCCTCGGCCTCTCAAAGTGTTAGTATTACAGGTGTGAGCCACTGTGCCCAGCCTTCAAGTGTATTTTTATTGCAGTTTGAATATTTTCCTGCACACCATTTTCATGAAAGTGTTTTACAAAATTTAGGGAATTAAAGTATAATTTTTCCTATATTTCCATTGACTAAAACCTTTGTACTGAGAAATAACTGTATTCTCAGAAACTTAAGTATTGAAAACCAAGAGGCTTTCTATCAAGAAAATGTTTCTATTATAAAGACATAGAAATATTTTCTATTCTTGAAAAGACTTACATGTAATCTTCCAATATTTTAAAAGTTCATATTCCAAAACAAATTTTGAAATATTTGTTGCTAGAGTTTCACCTTTTCTAGAGAATTCCCGTGTCTACTACCACCACAGATAAATTTTGGAGCACTTATTCTTAAGACAAATTTGATAAGACAGTTTATACTTTTTCATATATTGAAATTCTATGATTTCTAATATACTAGTTGTGTCCTCCAAGTTTTTAATAACTGAAAAAAATTCAACTTGATATTTAAACGTTATAAGAAATACTTAAATGTGAATAATAGAAGGCCAATGACAGTAATAGAATCTTTACATCTGAGGTAATTTTAGTCAAAAGATACCAAGGACAAAATGGAACTTATTGAGATAATATTGATGCCTAATCGGATCAGAGACCTTAGGAAGGGTTGACATGAGGACAACTCCAGAAAACTTATCAGCAAAGACACTGGGACTTCTTTTTGGAGCCAGAACTTTAATGTGGCCCTTCTCAAAATAATCCTGTCTCTTTCTCTTTCCATTAAAAATTCTAAGTTCCTGTATAAAGAATTTAGGCTAGAAGCATCGTTTTCCACTGTTGCTTTGATATTTGATGGCCACTGTGAGATGGTCATCAGATGCAAGTGTGGCCGCCCTGGACCTACTCCTATATATCAATAACAATAAGTAAAGGGCATTTTTAGCTAGATTGGTGTTCTTCAAAGCTATCAGATTGCAATTCTAGTCTTTCTATAATTAGTCACTATGTTCACCATTCCTGTTAATGAGTAAAATAATTTTTACCATTTATATTTAATTGTGGTCATGGGTGTTTCAAGACAAATATCCTATCTGGGAATTCCTTATATCTTAAGGAGATGAATTGGAAGAATGGAAAATTGGCTGCTATAGTTCTTTTTAATATGAAAACACCTACAAATACAATTAATAACTATAAGTTAAAAATCAATCTTAAGTCTGCATCTAGGATATTACCATGCTATTTTTTGAAGCTCTGTGCAAAGTTTCAGTTTGTAGGATTCCATCCTGAAACGGCATCATCACCATCAACCAAAACTTTTATTTCCAGGAGTTAAAGAATATGTATTTCTTTATGTTAACAATATACTTTACATCAATTAACAAGAAAGGCTTAATGACTTAGTGATGGTTACATCATCTGACATACCTTATATAAATATCTACATACAGACCTCTTGGAGGACCCAGCCAAACAAGATGTTGAATCGTTACCGATTTCAGTTGAAAGTGAGTTTCTGTTTAGTGTGGCGAGTATTTCAGAGAGTAACAACAGGAGTAATTTGTTGTTGCGTAATTATGCTAAACTTTTAAAATTTGACTAGTGTATTTTAATGATAAATTTCTAATAAAATTAAATTACTTTGTAGATTTCATATTTGTTTTTATATTGCAGAAGTTCATTCTATGATGATTATATTTTAACTCTGAAACGCTGACTGTGGTTGAGGTTGATTTTAATTCTCAGGCATTCAACAGTTCAGCAAAAAGTCTTCGCAGTATAGCTCTGTTATAGATAAAAGTCTCTGTAAATAATGGTTGTAACAAGGGAACGGTGACTAATGTTTTTTTTTTTTTTTTTTTTTTTTTTTTGAGACGGAGTTTCTCTCTTGTTACCCAGGCTGGAGTGCAATGGCGTGATCTCAGCTCACCGCAACCTCCGCCTCCTGGGTTCAGGCAATTCTCCTGAGTTCAGGCAATTCTCCTGCCTCAGCCTCCTGAGTAGCTGGGATTACAGGCACGCGCCACCATGCCCAGCTGATTTTTTGTATTTTCAGTAGAGACGGGGTTTCACCATGTTGACAAAATGGTCTCGACCTCTTGACCTCGTGATCCACCCGCCTCGGCCTCCCAAAGTGCTGGGATTACAGGCGTGGGCCACAAACCCGGCCCCGACTAATATGTCTTTTTGAAAATAGCCATCTTTTATTCGGAGAAGCCTTCCCTTGACTCAGGAGCAGCTTCAGGATATGCATATATAGAATAATGAGGAAAGGAGAGGATATATTCTCTATTCATTAATTCTGGCAATTTGAGACGCTTGAGGTAGATACTAAATTTGCTTCATTTTTTTTGGATTACTGTAGATCTTTGGAATCTACATTCAATATTTGATACTGTGTGTGACTCCTGATGAACACATTGAAGATACATGATATCCAGTAATTTTTGCTGGAGACAATACTGCAACATAAATAACATGATGTTATTAAAATACATTTAAGGCTGGGCATGGTGGCTCATGCCTGTAATCTCAGGACTTTGGGAGGCTGAGGCAGGTGGATTAGCTGAGGTCAGGAGTTTGAGACCAGTCTGACCAAAATGATGAAACCCATCTCTACTAAAAATACAAAAATTAGCCAGTCATGGTGGCAGGCTCCTGTAATCCCAGCTACAGGGGAGGCTGAGAAGGAGAATCGCTTGAACCCAGGAGGTAGAGGTTGTAGTTAGCCAAGATCGCACGATTGCACTCCAGCCTGGGCAACAAGAGCAAAACTTTTCCTCAAAATAAAATAAAATCATTTAAAATTACACAAGACATTTTAAAATTACATAAGATAATGTGTATAAAGAGTTTAAAGAAATTTCAGTTACCTTGGCTTAAGATGATTTAGCTATTTTGTAGGTTAACCAAGATCTACCATTTACTTCCTAATTAGTCTATGGCTGAATTTGGCATTTTTGAAAATCTTTTGATGGCCTCTGAGAACTTACTATTATTTGTACTAATTTAATTAGGGATGAAAGCTATTAAAAAGATTTATTTTAGAAAGTTTATCTCAGGTAAGTTTATGTCCTTATGGAGCTTACAATCTTAATTTCAAAGATGAAAAGGGAAGTTGTGTGTAAAACAGCTCATAGTACTTTGCAGCTTGTCCCAAGAGTTACAGGGAGCAGCATGGACTGTGGAAACTCACATAAAGTTCTTCAAAATTTACTTTTTTTTTTTTTTCTTCCTGAAAATTGTAATCAGTTTCTCTTTTCCTACTTAACTTGAAAAATAAGTCCAATGGAATAGTTCATTGATTAATAAAGTTCTATTATTTCTTCTTCATGAAATGACTAATTTTAACAAATTAAATCCTTCACTTATTAAGCTTTGTTTATTACTCCTTTTTCCTCTGTTCCTCTCTCTGAGCTACAAACCACAGAGATTTATCTTTACTTTAAATTTTCTTAGCACTATCAATGTACCTATTTATGGCACATCTGTTGTATTAGTTGGGATATTTTAAATTGAATTGACAGAACTTTATGTTAAAATAAGTAGAAATACCAATTCCAGAAAAAGATTCTTTCTGTCTTTATTTAGACTATAATATGGTTTGGCTCTGTGCCTTCATCCAAATCTCATCTCAAATTATAATCCCTACCTGTCAGGGGAGGGACCAGGTTGGAGGTGATTGGATCATGAGGTCGGTTTCCCCCATGCTGTTCTCATGATAGCGAGTGAGTGCTCAGGACAGCTGATGGTTTAAAAGTGTGGCACTTCCTTGTGCTTACACTTCTCTCTCCTGTCACCATGTGAAGAAGGTCCTTGCTTTCCCTTTGCCTTCCACCATGATTGTAAGTTTTTTGAAGGCTTCCTAGCCATGTGGAACTGTGAGTTAATTAAACCTCTTTCTTTTATAAATTACTCAGTCTTGAGTATTTCTTTATAGCAGTGTGATAATTGAATAATATAGACCACATGCATAATGCTTGATAAATTATTGCCAGAAGGATGTGGCATGTGCCATGATGGGTCTAGATTGGGCTGTTTGCCATACTCCGAGAAGAGGTGCTGGAGGGAGAGGTTGAAGATGTATATACAAGACATAGGATAAAACTGCTAACTAAGTTTGAAATGTAGTTTCCTTAAGAATAAAAGTTTATATTTTATTAATTAGTTTTACTGTTCTTGGAAGAGAATCTGGTTCAAACTGATGCTCAATAAATCGTTGTTGAATAAATTAATGAATGGGCAATACTGTTTCCTAATACAGTATATTACACTTCTAAAGATCCCTGCTAGTTTCTAGGACTACAGTGATTGCCTATCCCGAGGTCAAGGTATAACAAAGCATTATTAAATATTGTGACTCAGTTTTGCATAATAATAATTGCAATAAATGAACTAATTCATAATTCTTCAGTATATGGTGGTTTTTCTAACTGCATTGGAAATCCTTTGAGAACTAATATAATAGTGTCTACTTTCTAAGTGTCCCAATATTGCAATTAAATGTTAGCCTAGTTAAATTCTGTTTAAATGAAGAGAGGCTGAAAATGAGAGTTACTAACCAAATAGAGGATTAATTTGATAGAATCAGCTCTAGTCTTAGTAAAGTTATATTTTTGTAGAATCTGATATATTCAGTCCTGATAGTTAAATTAGCTACTTTATTATATTTGTTTATTTTACTTTGTGAGTTATGTCTTCTGTAAAGTCTGAAGCTAAGAGAGTGAATTATTACAATATAGTTCCAGAAATTACAGAACACTTAAATGAAATGTCTAATTCATAGGTGATTCATTTATTTGTGAGTACATTATTTAGAAGATCACAGCATGTAATTTAAAGATGAGAAACTCAAACTTTTTAATCTACATTTGTGTTCTTTGAGAATGAATAACTGTAGACTCTGAGACATGAGTTCCTTTTTCTATACTCTTCCATATTTTGAATACGTATTCAAATAATATTTGATTTCTATTTGTGATGTAACTATGAATTAATTATACACATGGAGATTCTGTTTTGAACGAATTTTTTTAATTCAATATTTTTGTGCCTCCGTAAGATTTTTTCTGTTAATACTTTAATATTCTACTTTTTGGAATATATTGCAGTAGTGAAATAAGACATTTATTATTGCTAATTAATGATCATATTACATAGCAGGGAGATATAATTTTAAATGCTTTATAATGGAGTGCTTTGATTAAAAATATTTTTCTAATATTATAAATATTTGATCCTTGGAAAACTTGAAAACCATGTTTTTAAATGGAAATCAGAATCTTTGGGTGGGAGGTCTTTGGCAAGGCAACTATTTTACACAAACAACTGAATCTGTGGGAGGGGACCACACGAAGCCTGCATCCCCTTTTGAACCCTCAGTAGCATCCTCCAGGGAAAGTCACTGTGTGAAGATTGTTTAAATGGCAGCAGTAGGGTGCATAGTAACACTGCTCCTCAAAGGAAGCATCACCTTATCTGACCCAGACTTGGAGTTAATCAGGCGCCTGCTTCAGCCAGTTGACGATAATGTCTCCAACCATTTCCATTTTTTAGCATTCAGGAGCCATCCAAGGACATCTTTTGTTTGTATAATAGATCTTCACAGGATACATTCTGTCAAAACTTAGGATGAACTTGGTCTTTTGCTGGACTTCAGCTCTGACAATATGTAACTCCAAGAATTTCTCAAGTTCTATGATGGCATTGATTAAGCATGAAGATATCAAACCATATGCCCTCACCTACCTGTGTCATTTGGTAGAGTAAAAGGTAACATCTTTTGGATTTGCAATAAGTACTTAGAGGATTGCCCTTTCATTTAACCTTTTCTGAGACAATAAGTGTATGATTTTCTTCCCCTAGAATGAACTTCTTAAATTAAAAAAGTGTACAGTTCTGTTTGCAAAAAAACCTATTATGCAGCTTGAAACCTAGGCAGCAGTTACCTTGTTCAGTTTGTAGGAAATGATCATCTTGGCAAAGCACTTCAAATGTAAAGAGCTGTGAAGAACACTCAGTTGGTTTTGATTAATACAGCACGTTCAGTTATGATTCTGTCTATCAATTTCTTCACTGAAAGATCAGTGGTTAAGCATATGCTGTTAGCTGCCAGAGTCAACACTCATATTTTTCTTTCCATTCTGTGAGAAGAACTTCAAGTGTTATTATTTATAAAGGCTTTTACTGCAGCCTGTTGGTCTGGACTAAGAACACACATTATTTCATGTCATATTAAGAATTCCAACCTTGAAAGTTCAACTGTTAGGTTTATCATAGTGTTTATGGGGTGCTGATTATTTACTTACCACTGCAGAGTATTTGAGATATTTTTAAATTCATAAATTAAAATGAATTATTGCTACAGTAATCAGCAATGTAGCATCATTATAATTTATATACTTGAGCACATTTTTTTCATTATTTGTCACTCCTACTTCTGTATATAAGAGAAACCAATGCTTTTTTTTTTTAAAAAAAAAAACAATTAAATATAAGTTGATAAATGCTAGCATTTATTTCCCACTTTTTTTTTTTTTTTTTTGAGAGGGAGTTTCACTCTTGGTGCCCAGGCTACAGTGCACTGGTGTAATCTTGGCTCACTGCAACATCTGCCTCCTGGGTTCAAGCGACTTTCTTTGGTCTCAGCCTCCCAAATAGCTGGTATCACAGGGGCCCCCCACCATGCTTGACTAATTTTTTGTATTTTCGTATTTTTAAACAGTGTTTCACCTTGTTGGCCAGGCTGGTCTTGAACTCCTGACCTCAGGTAATCCACCCACCTTAACCTCCCAAAGTGCTGGAATTACAGGTGTGAGCCGCTGTGCTCAGCCCATTTCCCACTTTTTTTTTACTTCTGTTTCAAAACATTTGTTTGCGTCATACCAGAGCAGCTTTCTAGCCAATCAATCAACATTTTAAAAAGGAAGTAAAATGAAATGATTTTTAATCATGAAGTTCCTACAATATCTTGTCTAGACTTACAGGTAAAAGTAATATGGAAGAAAAATAATAATATAAGTCACAGTATGATTTGGAAATACTTGCTTTTTAATTTTGTGAGACAAAAATACTGTATATTTCATTTCTCTTTATTCAGCAGTAAATGAATTTTAGAATGATGGAGACCCAGGGCAGAGTAGCACACTGTGATAGTATCCAGTGCTAGCCAACCTGGAAAGTCTGAGGGACACAAGACTTCCCATTTAGGGATATCAATTAAAAGTTCAAGGGTTTTGAAAAACTATCTTGTTTGATAATTCACTGGAAATACCCACAGAACTCATAGCTACATTTATTAGAGAGAAAACATACACAAAATTAGCTGAAGAAGAGATAGACAAGGCAGAGTCTGGGAGAGACCCAAATATGGAGCTCCTGTTTATTCTCATCCCATGAAGTTATGAATGGTG